GAATCACTCACCAACACACAAAGACTGTCCCAATCCAACTTGTGTTGTCTGATGAACTGCTTCATAAGTCAGGGTGCCCGATCTGGAGACAATGCCTTAAAGGAAGAGAATCCAAAAATATTAGATTATGTTTATATGACAGACTATCATGTGGTAAACTAAGTCTCAAACATTTTGAGTAACTAACATGAGCATATACAAAATTCACTCCATGATTTGCCAGCCAGATCACAATACCTTCAAAAAAATAAAAGGTTTAAAGTAGGGAGGTTTTTAAGATTAGGTAAAGAAAAAGGTTTAGATTATTAGCTAAAGTGACTTTACGACTACAAAAGCAATGCAAGGAAAACCTACATGGCTTCTTCTGAAAACCTGTATGCTTTCCTACCTTTTTATATTTGTTCTGCTTAAAATGGAGAGCCTTGCCTGCACCACACCATCCCTACAGGTCCATACCAAAAGTTTCAATGTTACTTTCTCTTAGAGGTCTTTCCGGATCATGCCCAACAATAATGAGACAGAATCTCTTAGCCATTTTGTTTTACAAAATAACACGCCAAGTTTCTTACCCATTATTTTTTATGAGATACCGTCTCACTGCCAATAGTAAGGCTAAATTTAAAAAGACTGAAAATAATAAATGAAAAATATGAAGCAACTGCAACACCCACACATTAACGGTAAGAATGTAAAGTGATACAGCCACTTCACAGAACTATTTGGCAATTTCTTCAAAAATTGAACATGGGCTCCCAAATTGAACATGCTCTCCCTTATGACCTATTCATTTCACTCCTCAGTACTTTGCTCAAAAGAAATGAAAACACGTCCATAAAAAGGTCTGCACACAAAGGTTCATCTTAGCCTTGTTCCTGAGCCTCAAACCCAGCAATAACTCACATGTCCACTGTGAGAGGACGGATAAACTGCAGGAAAACCAGAGGATACCATAGTATTTCACAATAACATGAAATTAAGTGTACACAAGCAAACATACAGAAGACTCCAGAGCACTAAGTAGGGAAAAAACAAATCTTTCTGACTTCTAAAATCTTCACTATGTGGAATTATACCTGCTTTTCATTACATGTGGGACACAGAACTGTTTCACTATAAGCTTCTGGTAAATTTTACTAAAGTGATTTATAGTCACAAAGTCTCTACGAGCTGTGAGAATCTGGAACAAAGAGTTTTTTTTAAGCCCGGAGGACAGTAACAGATACACTCACCGACTCTTCCTTTCTTGTGAATATGGCCAGGCATGATGCCTATTTTGCATTCTCCAGGCTGAAAGAAAGTAAATCACAGTTGTAGAGAAGTTTTTAACATCAGTCGGCACTCATAAGTCATACACACAACCCAGTCAGATAATTCAAAGCTGCTTGGCTTTGCAAGAGGCTAAATCCTGGCTTCGGGTTACTTTTTGCACTCACATTGATGACTCCAGGGCAATTCGGGCCGATCAGCCTCGTCTTCCCCTGGCGGAGCAGCTTGTGCTTGACCCGCACCATGTCCTGCTGCGGGATACCTTCCGTAATGCACACAACCAAGGGTATCTCTGCCTCAATGGCTTCGTCGATGGCAGCAGCGGCGAAAGGAGGAGGGACGTAAATGACGGACGCCGTGGCTCCTGTCTGTTCTTTGGCCTGCAACATTCACCATAAAGCACGTGATCACTGGACAAGTCATAAACAATGTAAAATAAATTCAATACCGTGATTTTATTCATGTCTAAGGGTCAGGAAAGACACCACCAAGTGACATAGGATGTCTGCATTCTTTACATTCTCCAATTCACCGCACTGACAGAAAAGAACAGAATCAAGCACAGCCTCTTTGCCCCCTCAGCGTGTCCCTGAGAACTGAAAGGCCTGTGACAGTGCAAATGACGGCAGCTCAGTAGACCCGAAAGCACTGCCTGCCCGCATGTGTCCCCTCATTCCCAGGGCCATGCTCAGTCTCCTTGGTCTGCTCTAGACCAGTGACGAAGACACTGTAGCACCTGCTTGGTACCAACACCGCGGACCTCCCGGGAGCAGGACTAGTGAGCCCCTCGGTGCCTAGAGCCCAGCTTTCAAACATCTGGTCTCAAATACATTTGGTAAACAGGATCGTGAGACAGTAAAAATGAAGTTCTTACCTGCTATTTCTTACTCTGAATGCATGTTTGTTAGAAATAAACAAATTGAACAAAAATGCACATGCATAAGTGGTATACAATAAGAGTGTGAGTCAAACAAGCATTAAGTTTGAATGCTATCACCCTTCGCGATGTAAGGCACTTGGAGACCATCCCCCTGACCACTGCTCTTCTCTCTGTGACATGAGCATGGGCCATACATTCTACCTTTACAAACTCGCTACATACACAGCCATACAACTGCACCCCTCCACCTGCCTCTCTGTGAGGCTATGTCTCATCTACTGCCATGGACTCTCCAGGAAGATGGAGACTGTGGATGATCTCTGTATTCCCACGAGCAGCAGCCCCCGTTCTGTGACAGCCTTCTGAGAGGGTTCTACACAAGTCTCAGTAAAGGCTTCAGCACAACCCTGAATCTTCGCATCCCCAGTTCACAGATCAACACGCTGAGGCCAAGAGAGTGGAGACTTACTACTAAGTACATTGATTCCAAAGTGTCTGCTCATTTGGTATAGCAGGCTGCCTCCCTATAAATGTTAAACATGTCACTTAAGCTAAATAGAAATCAAAAACTTTTACTAGATTATGCTATGGGATTTTACAATGGACATGAATATTAATTAAGCTACAGAACACATAGACAAGATTAAAAGGAGCAGAAGCAGAGGACAGTGTCTTTGGGACCCATCACTGAATGAGTCCCCACATTCCCACAGACTGAGAGCTTCCTCTATTACAGACCTAATGAAAATCACTATCTTGACAGTAATGTAAGGATAAAGTCAGAGAAGGCTGACAGATCATCCATAAAGGATGTCAGGGGTTAGAAATAATTTTTTAAAAACTCTGTCCAAGAGGATGATACATGTGCATGAACAAAAGAAATAAAAACCAGGTTTGAACCAAAAGAATTCATATCACAGGCATGTAGGTATTTTATTGAAAAATATTTCCCAAAGTCCTCACTTCTTCAGGCTACAACTAATGCCAGAAGCTAGACTGCGACAAGTACTATGTGCTAGGAAGTCACAGGGGATGAAAAGTGTCATTCCTACTTGTTCAGAATGTTCTTTGTAAGACCTAAGTGGGTAAGAAATGGTACCCATAAAAGAACTTACAGAATATTTCAAATGCCACATATATTTCTATCACTATGAATAATAAATAGCTAGTAACAAAAATAAGTTTTTTTGTTTCGTTTAGTCTTTCTTGGGAGAGGGTCTCGTTATGTTCTAGGCTGGCCTCCACCTCATCACGCACTCCACGTTATCCTCAAAGGTGCAGTCTTTGTGCCTCGGCCTCGCAGAGTGCTAGGATTACAGGCGTGTACCACAACACCTGGCCAAACTTTTTTTAAGAAAACAAAAAGCAAGGGGGGAAATAAAGCATTACAGAGCATATTATTTCTAATGTTTTATTCTTAAAACAGAGCATCTAAAACACAAATGCACATACAAAGTAACACTATCTCCAAGTTTAAAGTAAAATGAAGTCTCTAAATTTGAATGATATCTCTTCTTTCCTGCATGTTAGGATGAAGAGTGCAAATTAACCTTAATTTGGTTAGTGCACAGTCATAAGAGTAGATCTGTAAATATGTGCTTTAAACAAATGAAAAAATGTAATCCTTCACAATATATCTATACAAAGTATGAAATTTACTCCCTAATTTTTATAAAATAACCCAAGAATTTATACAAGTTTCTTATAAAATACTTTTTTTATAAATTTAATATAAAAGTGGAAAGAATATGGAGAAATATACACCAATCTTAAATTAGCTCTCAAAAGAGGCAAAATCTGAAATATGGAAAGCACTAAGAACTTTAATGGTACTTACCCTCATGGGATCTGAATTTTACAGTCAATATATATTGGTTTTGAACAAAGCAGTTTAAAACATTATTTTAAAAGTATTAGCTAGAGAGCAGCAGTTTAAAGAAGAAAGGAAAACCCTGAGGTGTCCTGTGTTCGCACAGGAGCACACTGTTTACTCTGAGCCACTTAGCAACTGGCAGCTCACGGCCGACACCCTTGGCCTCTCTGCACTGGAGGTGCCTTGGCTTTACAGCGGAGCTTGTAAGGGCACCTGCTTCGGTGGACTGCAGTGAGATCTGAGGGGCCAACATGCATGAAGCACCTCGCATTGTTTGCCACACGGCCCACACTCAGGGAGGCAGCGTGGCTCCTGACACTTGCACTACAACCATTCTGGAAGAAAGGTAAGGACAGGATAATAAGCCAGGCCACAACACCTCTTCCTTTAATAGAGGAGACATGGCAGCCATGGGTGGTGACACACATCTGTAATCCCACCACTCGAAGAGGCTAAGGCAGGAGGATCACAAGTTCAAGCCCAGCCTGGGCAACTTAGTGACTTTAGTGAGACTCTATCTCAAAATAAAAAATAAAAAAGGCTGGGATACAGCTCAGTGTGAAGGACCCGGGTTCAATCACCAACCCTACCAAACAAAAAAGATGACGCATGGCTATAAACAAAAATGACATCCCGAGTTTCAAGACAATTCAAATCTCCCTAGATGACCGGATATTCAAAGAGCAAGTGACTCTCCCAAAGAGACACAGTTAAGATATCTGCCCAGAGAACAGTTGCTCTTCCCCTGCTTTTCTTTTCTTGCCAAGCTCAGGTACGATGAATTACCTCCTTCACGGTATTAAAGACGGGTAAGCCCAGATGCGTCTTGCCTCCTTTCCCTGGTGTGGTTCCGCCAACAAGTTTGGTGCCGTATTCCAACGCCTGCTGGCTATGAAAGGTGCCCTGAGGGGAAAAGCACAACACTGTGAAAAGAGGCAGACTAGACGTGTACAGAGGACCAAACGCAAGCTTAGGAACTCATGCAGATGAACGATTCCCAGGCAATTCACTCGTCCAGCATCCTCATTAAGTTATTAAACAGCTGCGGACCATGATGCAAAGTAGGCTTCTGCAAAATCCAAACAGCCACTTACAAAGTCTTCCTTCTCTAAGACTGTGCATGTGGAGCCAAACAGTGCCTAAGGAAGAAAAAACCCTGCTAACCAGTCTCACTTTACACCAGGGTCAGTAAGCTTAAGTGAGTCTTTAACCTGCCTGGCCTGCATCCTACTACATTTCCCTACTCACTCATTTTCCCTGTCCCAGAGCACTGCTGACAATTTAGACACAGTGTTCTCTGGGACAGGACATCATCCTGCCTTTGGGGGACACTGAAGAGTCTTCCCAGTCTCTTCCATCAGATGCCAGTTCTATATCCTCCACCAAAATCCGTCCCAGTGTAACAACCAAAAATGGCTCCAGGGACTGGAAGATTCTTTTCCACTAGGCTGCTGGGGCTTTGCTTCCTCTTGTTTTTCCTCTTCTGTTTCTTTTTCTCTCTCCCTAGACTTGCCTTTTCCATCTAAATGTGTGCCCTTGATGATGACATCCCTATTCATGACAATAACTAACACCCACATGGCAACCCCTGCCACACACAACACCCCACGAGCTTAGCCAAGACCTCTGCCTTGGACTCCATATGCACAACACCAATGGCCTACTTAACACCTCCTCTTGGAGAACTAGCAGGTATCTCGGACTCGAATTTAGAGAATTGGCAGGCACCCCACGCTGTTCCTGATCACACCCTTCTCAGTCTACCCCACCTCAGTTCATGACAACTTCATTCCTTCCAGATGTCCACACCAAAACTACTGAAGTCATCCTGGGTCCTCTCGCTCTTATATGCCATATCAGAGCCATTAGTAAGTCTTATGGCTCTACCATCAAAACACAATCAAAACACTTCTCTCCCGTCTATTGCTGGCCGCTGCCTAGGTCTGTCACCTTGACTCTTGATGAACTGTTGCCTTTGCCCCCTTCCAATCTCTTCTCCATGCAGCCAGACTGACCTTGTTAAAACACACAAGTGAAAAAGATCGTGTCACCTCTACCCTTGAGCCTTCCAATCTTTTTCCACCTCAATCCCATAAAAACCAAAGTGGTTTACAAGTCATCATGCAGCCAGTCTCCCCCTGTGAGGAGCCCATACCTGCCTGCCCGCATTTACTGCTCCCCCATTGCCTATTTCACTCCACTGAGACTGGTCAGCAGGCGCACGCCTGCTGATGGCCTTGCTGAGCCCTCTGCATGGAATACGCATCCCTCACCTACCCACTGGGTGCACTGCTACACCTTCAGATCGTGACTCAAAAGTCCAGCCTTCCCTAACCATGGACACAACATCTGCTTCTCTCCTCGCCAAGGCACCAGGACTCCACACGTACCCAGCCTCCTTTTCCTCACTTGTTTTTACCACAGCAATTATACTTAACACAGCACATACTTTACTCAGGGATTTTTTTTTTAATGCTTTTCTGTCTTCTCCATTAAAAGGTAAATTCCATGAAAACAGGGATTTCTGTTTATCATCTGTTCACTGTAATATAGTACCTAAATCAATATGACACCTATTTACAGGAAGTAGGCCCTCAATAAACAGTCATGGAAAAATAAAGGGTCTGTGTGGTCATTCTCATGGAGACCTACAAATGTTGAGTCCATTATTCAAATGCTTAATCATTTAAGGTATAAAATGGAGCCCTGGGACCAGGAATATAGCTCAGCAGCATATGTACCTGCCTGGCAAATGCAAGGTCCTGAGTTTGATTACCGGTACCAAATAAATAAATAAATACATAAATAAAATAAAATAAACACACAGCCTTAAAAACTTCAAAAATTTTCTGATTCAACTCCTTTTTCAATAAAAGAATGTTGGCCCCAACTATCTTAAGGGACTGGTTTAAAGGTACTGACAGGGTCTAAGGAAAAAAAAGGCCAGTGCGCTCTCTCTTAACATAGTGCTGTTATTCAGAGCACGGTCTATAGATTGCTGCTGCTCTGCAACAACAGAAGAGTAAAACCAAAAAAAAAAAAAAAAAATGACCGAAAGGGAAAAAAGAGAGAGAAAAAAAGGAAGGCAGAAAGGACGGGGTGAGCAAGGAATAAAAATGCTAATAAAATAAAAGAATGCTTACAAATATAGCACTATGACATTGCTGCAATTTTTACTGTATTTTGCAAAATTACGGATCTACATTAGATCAGAAATTAAAAACAAATATCCAAGCTGCCGTTCACTCCAGGCAGTTTGTGAAGCACTGCCCTACAGTACAGTGCCAGGTAAATTCAAATGAACCAGTGTTTTTCAGTCTAAGTGGTGTTAAAATACAAGTGACATTTCCTCAAAAGAAGCCTACTGTCCTTAGCGTTCCCATTATCACCAGCCACTACACAGCAAGAATAGGAACAATTTTAGCAACTCATAAAAGCTAGTAAAAGAAGTCAGACAGCACGCACTGGAGATGCGCCCATTGCTGGAATCTACTTTAAATGGAAACTTTCTTCATTCACATGGGTGACAATGTGTGCACTGAAAAAAGAACTCAGGTGACAAACTGCAGATTTCCTGGGGAAGAGAGCTGTTGATTTCAGGCCTGATCATTAGACTCTTAACAGAATCTAAACCAACAAATCTACCTGAGGTAATTAAGGCTCTCAATTACTTTAGAACTCCAAAACGAAGGTGAGTAAGAAACAATTAGTTCGCAAGTAACTGAAAGACACTGAAGCCAACCTTGAATTTAAACACTGAATTTAAACAGTTCCAAATAGTGCTTACACCCTGTACAAATGGTTATAACAAAAAAGCTCAGAAGTTAAAATGTCGTAAGTTCACACAAAGATTAGAAAAGAGGAAAACAAAATCATATAATACATTTATATAAGAAATTTGGGTTAACCACACACTTGAGTATATGCTCATAATAAAATATGCAAAAATAGACAATATAATTTTAATTGGGGAGGGAATGATAGAATATACTTCAAGTCATGTATGCATACAGATCTAATATAAAACGTGTAAAGAACACATTAGGGAGATATAAGTATGTCTATAGTGCAATAAAATATCTGAGAGGACACATACAACTTATTAACACATAAAAGTTTGGTGAGCAGAACGGAAGGAAAGAAGAAAAGGAGGTTCTTATGCTGCATTTTTTGTAGACTAACAGCACGGATATATTTAAGCTTACACAAATTCTACAACTAAGTAGGAGAGAGGGAGACAGTGCAAGAGAATTAAAATGCTTAAAGCAACTTGCCTGCGGTCTCTTTATAGACCTTGTGCCACACAGAGTATAAGATGGGAAAAGTCACCAGGCAGCTTCCTCAGCTGTCTCAGTTCCGCCGAGCCTCTGTGGGTTTGTGTGCTTCTCCATGTTTAATGTGGATCCCACGTTCAGCAACAAATATTTATTTGTACGAGACCAAGACACAAGCATCTATTTTATCTAGTGCTCAATCAAAGTAATAGTGATCTGTCCCAGTGTTAGAGGAAAACAGTGGTGCATTTGCTGAAGACAGTCAGTGGGTGTCCAGCATAGCATTCTCCTACGCATCTCCAGGTAAGATTAAACACAATTTTCCCCTGACAGGTTGAATGTAGCATCTAACCTCTTCTTAAGATACAACCTCACTTCTGTATATTTTTTTCATCAATCATTTATGACTACTTTTATGATATAAAAGGAGAAAAGAGTTAATTTTTTTAAAAAATCTTTAGTCTACACTTTAAAAGTCCAGATACACATACCTGCTTACCAGTGAAACCCTGGCAAATAATCTTCGTGTTTTTATCAACATAGAGATGTTTCCGGGAAGCTGCATAGGAACATTGTCGAATTCCACTCTGTTGCACTGAAAGGTAAAGAAAACGTGGCACATTGTAACTTTCCCAAACTTCTGAACAATAAATTCAACTTGGTGACCAAAAAAAAAAAATCCTGTAATTTGAAAGCTGAATGGTTTCAACATGGAAAATTTAAATATCACTTTTTTTCCAGGCCCTAAACATCACTTTTAAAATGAGAGATGTAGACCACAGGAAAAAATTAGAAAAATAAAAAAGACCCTGCTCTACTCTCCAGGATCTTATGCTTCCTGAGAACCACAACATTATAGCTTTTTTTGAACTGAGAAAGAAAAGCTGAAGTTTATCATTTCCATTCCTCAGAAAGAAAAGTAGAGTTCAAAGACAAATGGCTCAAATTAAACCCAGAGACTATCCCGAGTTCACTTCCTGGTACAAAAAAATAAAATAAACCCAGGGACTGAACAATAAAATAAAATAAAATAAACCCAGGGACTGAAAACTAGGAACCACCCCCACTAATAATTATTAAACAGCCACGTGCATTCGCCACTTGACTCAAATTTTTTAAAGTCCAACTCCTATAAACAATAATGAGCAAAGAGGCAAACTTCAGAAAACAGAGAAATCTGGTTAATACAACCAACTTCCATTTCAAAACTCAGAAGACAAGCACGTGGCTTGTAGGCTACTTTCTAAACCTCGGCAAAACCACCAACCGATCTTGTCTACACCACCCCTGGCCTCTTCAAAGTGGCTGAGCCTTCTACCTACTGCTGAGTAGCTCCTGAAAGGCGGCTTCAGGAATAAACATCTCATGACACATTTCTCCAGTCCCCCTCCCCATGCTTTTGGACTCAAATTACTTTGAATCACTGCCTCCTAACTTTTCAGACCTCAGGTGCCACAACTCAAGGAGCATCGATAGCCACACTGGCAGAGGTATTTCAAGTTCCCATACCTCTAGGGAAGACAAAGGCTCAGATTTCATCCTTGCCATCCAGGTGAGGAGCATTCTGTGTGCACGCGGAACTGCCGGGCAGTGGACAGCTATGTGCTTTGACTATGCTCAGTAAGGCGCCATGAGGGAGGACGCCATGCCGTCACATCCTGGCCCGGTGGGCATAACTAAACACCTGGCCTAAGGCCACAACAGCAATTTCCAGCCTCAGCGATTTCCCCCCAAGGAGCTGCGCTGGCACTCGAACACCATTCTTGCCCTTAGCTAACAGACACACTGATAAAGGACATAAACCAATAACATAACTAGTGCACAAATGGTAAACCAACATATGATGAAATGTGCAACTTTAATAACGAGAAAATAAGCACTTTAAATTAAACACTAGGGCAGAAGGATGGTCTAAAGTTGACCAGCAGGAATATCCTGATGGTGAGAGCTGGGGCTCCTGTAACCTTGATTTTTGTGTCCCAGGAGCAGCTGAGAACAGTGTCTTGGGAATCAGACAGGCCTCGGCTCGCTATTACACTCTGCTGCTCACCAGCGATGTGACACAGGTATGCTTCTACTCTCCCTGAGCCTCAGCCTTTCCGTCTGTAAATGGAATGGCGGCTGCCCACAAGAAGACTGTGATGTCAATATGAGATGACTGTAGACTGGGGATGAAAATCCCGGTACACTCCCACATCCTACGTGACTAAAAGGTAAATCTTTTCCTAGAAAGAGGAAACATATATTTGATATTTAAATGATCAAGTAAGTCCAACCAGCACTGTTTTTTATGGGTCCTCATGCATATTCTAAACACAGATGTTTACAAATGCCTACATATAATGTGTAGCATGCACAAATATATTTGTAAGTTGTTAACATGAAAAATTTATAAAGGCAGAGCCTCATTGTAAAAATTGAAAGATAATATGTACCTCATTGGCTGATATGAGAATTAAATGAGTTTAAAAATATATAGCACATGTAAAATAGTGACAAGGGTACAATAAGTGTTTTAGCACTAACAGCCATTTTATTACCATTATCGTTACTGATGCAGAATGAACACACCCCACTGCTTTGAGATGTTCACCGTGGTAGGCTCACGAGAGAACAAGATACTCAGGGACTATGAAAGTACAAAAGTAAAAACTACAAAAGTACAAAAGTGCAAACTGAAATAAAAACCTAAAGAAAGAGACTGAATAATCTGAAAGAGAAGTGCTTTCAGCATGGGTTATAAGTTTGTATCAGTCAGCTACATGCTGAGCCCTCTTTCCCATAGACAGCAACTATACCTTCTATAAGATGGCTAGTAGGATTCAAGGTGCGATCTGCAGCCAGAGGCTTGCCTAGGTGGGACTCAAATCACAGCCTTGCATGACTACTACTTAGCACATTTCCAACCAAGAACCTGAGATGCTGTTCGTAACAATACTCTCTCCAAATTACCTTTTAACATACATTGCTGCTACTCATTTATTCATGCATATGTTCATGAACTTAAGACATGAGTACTTAGCTATATTAGTCCATTTTCTGTAGCTATAACAAAGTACCTGAGGCTAGCTACTCATAAAGAGAAGAGCTGTATTTAGTGCAGAGATTAGAAGCTGAGAGTCCAAGATGGAGCAGCCTCACTTGTCCATCCTCTGGGCCCCTGTGGTTGCATCATAACACAGCAGGGAGGCAGAAGAAATACAGCCCCATGTAGAAAAGAGTCAAGTGTACGGGGCAGCCTTGTTTCATAACAACCAACTCTTGTGAGAATTCACTCCAAGAACGCACCCTGGAAGTCCAATACTAATCTCTTCTGGTAGTGAAACCTAGAATCCCCTCCTTTGGGCTCCACCTCCTAAAAGGTTCCACTTCCTCTCAAAACTGCCACCCTAGGGACCAAGCTCCTGGCACATGAATCTACTTAAACACATCCAAATCAGAGCATTAGCCCTATATAATATAAATATATATATATATGACTCATGTAGTCTTCACCTACAGGATTTTAGAATACAGTAGTGTAGTTTAGTAGCCACTTAATCCCCAAATCTCAAATAACCTGCTATTCAAATGCAAAACTATATATTCATTCAATATTGACAAGCACGTTCATTTACTATTGACTTCACTGGTTGTTAAGTACCTTATTTCATCAAATCTAAAATACCACTAGTTTTGAAGAAGTACAACTAAATGCTAATAAGAAAGAAAATGCTGTTAATTCTGGTGAGGTATCAATTATTAAGACATTCCAGATCCTTCAAGGGCTCTGAACTGGGGACTCTTGAGCCTTTCCCCGCCTCCCTAATTCCCGGTCTTCTTTCTGCTCTTTCCCAGCCTTGGGCACAAGGGCTGATACCAAACCAAAAACTGGAGAGGGCGGGGCCAGAGCAGGGAGGCTGGAAGCACATGGCCCACGCTGAGAGGCGCTACCTCCATCCTCCCAGAAAATGTGTGACCCCAGCCCATTGTCTCAAGAGCCTGGAGGGGCACAAGGTTGCAGGGCCTCTTTCGGATTCTCATGTAGCTCTCCACTTCTGATGCTCTTGGGCACCCTGGATGCAGCCACTCAGTGCTCCCCACCCCACCGATCCCCTCTTGACGCAAGCCTCTGCTCATCCCCAAGCACACGACACAGGCGGAAAGGAAAGGAGCTTGGTGATCTAAGCCCTTTAAGAACCAGAAGGAGCCCTCCGGCCTTGCTCCCTGGCCACACTTCTGCAGGCAGCACAGAGGGACAGTAGAGCCCAGAATTCCCTGCTAGAGTAGTGAAGGGCTTCAGAGGCGAGGCAAGGTTAGGGTACCGAGGGAGGGTCAGCCAACAAGTCCCACCTTGCAGGGAGGATGCAGAGGGCGCCAGGATGGCAGATGGAGGAAAATGCTCATGCAAAGGTAGACACCCCTGGTTAGCCAGGAGAAACAGGTTGACTTTCTGATCACAATTGCTTGAGGCCCGACTGCTTCCTCCATTTCCTTCCTACCCTACTCACACTGTTCACTCATTCATTCATTCATGTACTCATTCAGCACATTTATCCATCACCTATTGTAAGCTTTAAACCCTCCCACTTTCCCCTGACCTGGACTGTGTCCACTGTTTCTCTAGCCCACCTTTCCCTTTACAAGTTGCTCAAAACCTGAGCCTCGGGATTGAACTGGGCCACCTGTGTCCTTTTTTAGGGACTCGCAGCATTGCAGAACCCTCATCTGCCCTGTAGGTGGGCTGTGCCCCTCCACTCCTTTCACTGTGATGGCCTACAGGGGTTAACTGCCTTGCCCAAGGTCAGGGGTTAATCTGGAGACAGAAGACCCTGCCCACAGCTCCCTTCTGCCCTGGACGCCTTAGTCAGTGTTGCAAGCAGGGAAGCGGGCAAGAGAGCCAACCTCCTAGGCTAATACTCAGGAAAGCTGCTCTCACCCTGAAGGCCAGGGGCTTCCAGGTCAGCATCAGGGCTGGCTGGGTGAGGACCAGGCTTGCTCAGCGGTTCTACCTTCCTACAGTTTCTAGGCCCTGCCGCATGGACCTGCTTCTCAGAACCCATGGAAGAAAGCGTCAGACAGCCCCAACTCCATATGCGTGCTGGGGTCCTTTACCTGTGCCCTTAGGTCACAGGTGCACTCATTCCTTGAATATATTTATTAAGCTCCTGCTGTAGGCCAAGAGCTCAGAACCCAGCAGTGAAACAGACAGCTCATGGAATTTACTGTCCAGTGGGGAACAAAGACTCAATGACAGAGAGATGAACACTAGCAAGTGCGGGTAGGCCTAGGGGTGACAGCCTTAGACAGGGGCAAGAGTTTGGCGGAACATCTGCAAAACCTTACAGACAGGGAAATCCATTCAGGACCCTCTTGTCTCCCAGGAGCTATTCCTATTCCCCATTCCTATTCCCCAATACATTTTGCTACTCTTAAAAAAAAAACCTTATGAACTGGGGGCCGTGCAAGCCATCACAGGTTCCCCGTGTCTCCTTTAGACCCACAGTCAAGGGCCCAGGATGCCGCCCCAGCAGCAGCTTACAGTAGTAAAGCAGGTAAAGCACAGGGACATGGCCAAGTCACATTAATCTGGTCTCAACCAGTTTAGGAGCAAGATCATTTGGGTATAACCGGCTGATTGTTGAAGTTTAAACCGCAGAACACACTCCTCTCTATAAATATAAAATCCTGTCTCCCTCATCCATTCCTACTTTTGTGGTTTTTGTTTTTGTTTTTGTTTTTTTTCTGAGACAGATTAGCAACTGCCTGTCTCTACCTCTTGCCCCTGCCTGCTCTCTCTTCTGGGAGAAGACAAACTTTTTTTTGATTCCCCGTCACACTCAGCATGACTGTTCCTCACTCAGAGAGGAAGGCAGAACCAACCAGGCTTATGTCAGTGGGTTCCACAGTTTGAGACCACAGGAAGGCCAGCAAACGGAAAGAGCATTCTCTCACTGTGTCGGGTGAGGGAAACCCCATCAGACCCTTTACCAGGTCTTGGAACTCAGCGCTGTGGAGACGGGGTCTCAAGTGTGGGCGCTGGACAAGGGCATACGCACGTATTTTGGGCTGCAGCTGCTGGTTCCAGGTCTCATCTCTAGCTAAGAGCTCAGCTTCTTGGAATGTCAACTATCTTCCTTCTGAAAAAGACTAAATCTAACTAACATACTGAGCAACGTGGGGACTGCTAAGTACGGCTTTGTCCCCATGATTCAGAAGGAAAGTTTGTCAGGCAAATCCAGGTGACCGAAGTTATGTGTGTGCGTGTGCATGGGAGTGTGTGTGGGGTGGATATCATCTCTATAGATTGGAATAAACCAAACCTTGTAAAAAGACCTCGAATTGCTTTATACTTCTTAAAATAATTTCACTATTTAACCTCAAAGCTGTTTATAAATTCTTAAACCTTCTCATAGAAGAAATACTTCTCAGATTCTTTTCCCTCCTTCCTTCACCTGCATTCTTTCCTTTCTTTCATAAGCTATAAAACTGAGGGAGGGGGTTGGCTCAGGAATTTCTAAATATTCTAAGTTGCCCCGCCAAAAGAGCTCTGGAAGGCATCTATGAGTTCTTGCTTTTATTTAACAACAACAACAAAAATCAATATTGCAACATTTGTGACCTCAGTACATAATGTACCATCAACTGAAACTTATCAGAACAGAGGGGACAAAATTCTCTAGCATCTCTAGAGATTTAAACCTCAAAGCTTAAATAATTTGTGACCATCTTAAAAAATTTTTTGCAAGGTGATGTTGCATCTGTTTTCTCAATGAGAGTGAAAACGTACTTAGAAATGTAGCATGAAAAAGAGGATTTAGAAATTTGCCAACCTGGAGTTTTTTTATACACTAAACCCTGCCATCTGTAACCCCAGCCCTAATATAGGAAATATCTTAGTTCAGATCTTAGACCTCTCAGCCTTTGTAACAGATTAATCACATGACTTTGGATAATTCAAGGCCACTCCAGCAATGGAAATCTAAACTGGTGATCTCTGTCTTGGAGTCTAGGAAGAAAAAAATGTCACTCCTGTGAGAAGAGAACTGTTAAGTATTTCTAAGTGGATGAAGAAATCAGATCTCTTAGACACTCTTCCTTTCTTCTCTCACACCAGAAGCTAGGTTCTTTCAGAAGCTCAGACTAGTAAAACTTCAGGAGAGAAAGACATCCGGCAGGCAAATCCTTCCTGCACTTTCCCAGCACAGGGCTGTGCTGTGCTACATCTTGACCATCACTCTATTGAAAGTAAGCTGAATTAGGCCCACAGCCAAGAGTACTTCCTTCCTACTGCTCCAACGCTATTGATGAGAGCGATCACTGGGTACAACTAATACTTCTTTTCCTCCTTCGGTCTACAACATCCTCAACTGCCCTTTAGACTGTACAGTAAGAATCTTCAGAAAAATATCGCAAACAAACCCAACTTTTTCCTACTTGCCAAAACTATCTAGCAAGACCTTTGTCCTTCACTGACTTGGTAACCAAGTACCGATATTGAGTATACATACACTTTTGGAATTTAATCTTCTCAAGAAAGGAACGAAGTCCAGCAAATATTCGAATCAAGCAGAGTGAGAAGCAAAGTGGAAACAAGGAAGAGAGAAAAGTTGATAGCTGAACATACTTTATATAATTACTTAAGTGGATTCACTTAGTCTGCACAATGAACCCAAGTCATTCTGTACACCATCATTCCTAATACGCACGTTTTTCACGTTTTAACATCTCTTAAACCAGGATTTGACAACCAATCACACATCACGATTTTAATTAACAATGGGTTCCTTTAATGGTAGACAAAATAATGGTGCACCTTATAGGTTCCTCAAACTCATTAAAACATGGTATTCTGAAACATTAAGAAATGGAGCAAGAAAAAAAGAAGACTAGGATTACTGCAAAGTCTGTAAAGGAACGAGCCAGATTTCCAACCCCTATGTGACTGATGCCCAACTTTCTTCCTACTATAACTTGCCTAGTAAACTCGTGAGACTTTGACCACAACAAGAGTTCAACAGCTAGCATTATTCAAAGACTTTCAAGTTGAGTGGTAAGTCTTCAGCAACTGGTGTGTTCCCACCGCCTGGAGCTGCCATTGTAAATAAATGGGTTAAGTCCCAGCCAGCGTCAAGCTTGCCTCTAGGCGTCTACGAGGCTACGCCGACTCTGGATGCAAAACTGCCTTTCCTCTGCGCCTGCACTTACACTCACAGATCAGACCTTTCTGTAGAAGACACAGCCTCTTCCCTGCCTCTCAACGCACTCATCCCGCAGCTCGGTTCATCCTGCACCTCTCCGCCCCTCGCTCCAGACAGGACAGTCCAGACGCCACCCCCACCCAGCCCGCCACTTGTCACCGCGAGTTCAACAGCAAGTTCTCAGATCTGCAAAGTTCCCGGGCCGGCTTCCTGGCTCGGCCACCTCACGTCCCCATCCGCTAGGGACCCGCGTATCCAGCAAAGCTCCGGGTCCCGGAAAGCCCCTCTAGAGGTCGGGGCCGGCCGGCCCGCCGCGCCGCCCGTGCCTTCCCCGGAGGGCCTAAGGGCGGCCCGCGCCAGGATGTTGGGCCCAGGGGGCCCCGGCACTGCGGAAGCCAGGAAGACAAGAGTCCCGGCCCGACTCACGGAGGAAGGTGCGGGACAGAAGGCGGGCGGCGGCGAGGCCGCCGCTGCCGGAGACCATGGTGGCGGTGGCGGTGGCAGCTGCCGCGGCGAGGGCTGCGGTCATCCCCCAATGACACTCCGAGGCCCCCGGGGTCCTGGCAGGAGCCGAGGCACGAAGAGCGGGGTGACCAGAGCTGGCGCCTGAACGAATTCCCCTCAGCACGGGGCCTCTTCAGCGGACATTCGGGATCACCCCTGAAGAAGAAAAAGAGCCATCCTATCGGAGAAGTAGATAGTAACTCTTTTTTTCCTATAAATGTGGCTTTGGTTAACCATATTTGTAATGGCAGTTTAGAGAACCCCGAGCGAGCCCGGTCGGCGCATGGCATTGTGGGAAGTGTAGTTTCATGGCTCCCGATTTAGGGGTTGGAGCAAGCGCGTGCTGGAAGGGCAGCTAGGGGCCAGCAGGAATCCGATCCTGGAGGTGGAGGTGCGAAGCCGTAGACGGAAGGAACCGCGAGGCAAAGAGAAATCCCATATCTAGGCCAATCTTCTGCACCTTCGTTTTCTTGCCTGGCACATGGAGAGGATAATGCCTAACGCTTCCTTGTGTGAGGTCTGGGAAGAATTTCCTGTGATAACAGTGAATCTGAACTCACACTAGTGGCCGGTGAAGGACGAGACCTGGAAGACCAAAAGCTACAGTGCTGATACTTTTTTCCTGAAATATGAATCTATCAGTTAAACAAACTAGTATATAGCCTTGGAGTGGCATTAAGTAGGAGTGCCTCTCCCTTACGGATTCTAAGGACTGAAACTGAAAATCAGATGTAATTTTGCCCTTTTTGAGCCAACCAGTCCCTCCTGTTTGAGCTTTAGAAGGAGCCTCAGAGTCCCAGAGTCAACAGGTAAACAAGAAATAGAATAATATACTTCCCTCCATAAAAGTGTCCCTGAGATTCCTATGTATCAATAAAATTCTAATCCTAATTTAGCAAAGTAGTCATTGTAATTTGCACAAATTATATGATGGGTATGTGATGGATAAATGGGATTGCCCAAGGAGATTGCCCAATATTTCCTCTATGACCCAGATATTGCCTCTCTCAAACTGGATTTGACTGCAAACAAACCCCTCCCTTATCTGTCTAGTGGATCCTATCCTGATAATTAGTTAAATAGTACCAGTGATGTCCACATATGTCCAGTATGAAGGCTCATTTAAAACAGTAAAATTCTTTTGGAGCTTTCACTTTATAATAAGTACATTTAGTTTCATTTAATTGGTAAAATGCATTGTGCAAAAAATACATAATTTCAGTGTGACTGATGAATTTGTTTTTTCATGAAGACAGGGATTTTAGTTTTGTACACTGGTGTATCTCTATCACCTAGAGTTATATCTACCCCTAAAAGAGAGCTAATTATGTACTGAACTGAGTGAACATATAGGAGAAATTGTAGTGTATACATTACTTATCAAATCCACAATGTGTGATGGGCTGAAAATATTTCAATACCTTGTAACAACTATAGCTCACCCTAATTCTATTCCTCATAGGTGAGAGACATTTGTACTAGACTGCAATCACATCACTCATTATTTGCAGATTGAGCTTTGAAATCTGGTATGGATTTAGTTTCTAATTTGGCCACAGGCTATATGATCTCTGGGTTTCAGTTGTCATTGAAATGGGAATGGAAGTGTTTATTTCAGAGGAGTGTGTAAGCAGTTAATACATTTAGTATGTAATGTTTTTGGTACCTAGTAAGTTATTACCATTGGAGATGGGAATTTTTCTTCATATGCTGGATGATATTTTGAAGGTCTTAACTTATGTGACTAAGCAGATGTAGAATAGGACACTTCTATTTGTTTCAAAACCGTGACTAGGCCGGGCGTGGTGGCACATGCCTGTAATCCCAGCACTCAGGAGGCTGAGGCAGGAGGATTGTTGTGAGTTCAAGACCAGCCTGGGCTA